GTTTGAGTAAATTATTTGGAAGATTCAGTTTCGAACCAAATTCCATAACCAGATCTTGGTCCGTTAGTCAGTCTGTTCGTTCCGTGTCGCGGCCCGGTGCGAGCGGGATCTGCCCCGGATCGGGTCGGGTCGTGACAGCGTGGACTTCCTGGATTTCTCAACGTGCTAAATCTAATTGGCTTTCATCGGGTGAGGATGATTTGGGGTTCCTTTATGCCAGGATAAAGTCTAGGAAGAATGTTAATTCTTTGAGAGAAATTACCACCCCTCAAGGCCATTTTTCTTCCCCTCAGGATGTTACTTCTGTTATTATCCAACACTTTAATAGTTTGTTCAATGCCCCTATTCATGTTAAGGCCGATAACTTATCACTTCCCTTGGGCCAAGGTATACCCATGAATATGATCAGTTTGTTGGTTGCCCCAATCACTAATGAAGAGATTAAGGATGCTATTTTTTATGTTAAAAAGAATTATTTGTCTGACCCTAATGGGTTCACTTTTGAATTTTATATGGTTACTTGGCAGCTGATTAGGCTTCAAATGTGTAATGTGGTTAAAAACTTCTTATCTACGGCCCACCTTCCTATTGGGGTAAAGGCCACAGCCATGACTTTAATCCCCAAGTGCCCTCATGCCTCTAGCATTCGTGACTTTCATCCTATATCTCTTTGCAATATTTTTTATAAAATTGTGACAAAGATTATTGCCAATAGACTGAAATTCGTTCTCCCTCATATTATACATGAAAGTAGTCTGGTTTTATCCATAAGAGATGATCTTCTGATAACATACTTTTGGTGGCTAAAGCCCTTAGAGATTTCAACTCTAAAGAGAGCTCTTTCTATGCTGAGCTTGATATTATGAAGGCGTTTGATTCGGTTTCTCATGTGTTTATCTTAAATAGAATGAAACAAAAAAGCTTTCTAGAGCAATTTATTAAATGGGTGCCCAGGTGTATTACTGATGTTCATTTCTCTACTGTGTTGTACAGAAACCAACACAGTAGTTTAAGATAAACACATGAGAAACCCTTAGATGATACACTTATTATATGCTGATGACCTTCTTGTGTTTAGGGAGGCCTCTCCCCATATTGCTTCTTACCTAAAGAACTCTTTCGAGCTTTTTGCTGAAACGTCTAGACTTCACATTAACCCCTCTAAGAGCTCTATTATTTTCTCCCAAAATGCCTTTTCCAAATCTGATATCTCTGATATTCTTGGCATATCCCGTGTTGAATCCTTTCTTACTTACTTGGGGCTGCCTATCTCTCATAGGAGACTCAGGTTTTCTCACTTCCAACCACCATTGAGTAGAATTTCTACTTTACTTGATGGTTGGAAAGTTAAGTTTCTCTCTTTTGTAGGTAGAATTCAGTTCCTGAAATTTACCATTTCCAATACTATTGCCTATTGGATCTATGGAACTATTATACCCAAGTCATGCCAAATAGCTATATCTCAGCTTTGATATATTTTTATTCCATGGCCGCATTTATGAGAATAAACTACACTTAATTGCTTGGAAGGACACTGCTAAGACTAAATGCTTTGGAGGACTTGACATTCCCTCTTTTGAGTCTCTTTACTATGCTTTTGCTTGTTCTTTCATTTGCCGATTTTACAATGTTAATTCTCTTGCTGGCTCTTGTTTTAGAGCCAAATATTGCTCTCCCTGGAAGCAGTCCCCTTCATTTTCCTCCATGGATTGGAAATTTATTCATTCACTTGCTCAGAATATTAAGTGCTGTATTTCTCTTGTTGTTTCTCCTCACTACAAATTCTCTATGATGTGGGACCCTTGCTGTAACTTGAAATCCTTAGCTGACCTAGGATTTTCTCTCAATTTGATTCATCAGGAGGTTAAATATTTCATTACTGATAATTGGTGGATCCTTCCCCGCTCCTGGCATTACTCCTTCAGGGATGCCATTCTTGCGATACCTATTGTTGAGCAACCGGCTCTTGCATGGGAGGGCTCCAACAAACCTACTTTCAAAAGTTTTACTCTTAAATTCTTCTCTAACCTTGATAAGATTCACCGCATAAATACATTTGGCACAAAATTGCATGCTCTTAGATTTTCCTCCTTTGCGTGGATGTCCATTTTGGAAAGGCTTAAATGTGCTGACGTCCTCTTGGCAAGATCGATTGACATTTCTCTTACTTGTTCGTTCTGCTTGAATGCTCCTGAAAATCATAAACATTTATTTTTTTAGTGTGATTACGCTTTCTTTGTAATCACTACGGTCCTCCTTATTTTGAAGTGCTTTCTCTTAAGGCCGAACATTTTGCAAACATTTGATTTTCTAGATGGTCTTCATCAGTTTTCTTTGTTCGATAAAAAATTTTGCTTCCTTGCGGTCAATTGTTTTATCTATTTCTTATGGCGAGAGAAGAACAATTGGAGATTTGCTGGAGAACATGCCTCCCCATCTACTATTGTCTTTGTTGTTAAACATGCTCTCAATCTTAAGACTTCTCATTGGAAACACAGGGAGAATTTACTTTGCAATTTTGAAAGGCTTCGGTAATCGTTGTTTTTATTTTGGTTGGTTGTCAGGTTTTGTGGTTGCCTGGAAGGTTTTATGTTGTTCTGGACGATGATGACTGTAGCTAGCTTGTTGCTGTCATGTTTGAGCATTCGTTGGTTGGTTTGCTGTTTCATTTCGGGTTGGAGATTCTGGGCTGGCTTACTATGGAGGTCATCTTGCCATTCATCTTTTGACTTAGCTGGCCCTGTGGCAACCTGGGCCATCCAAATCCTTTTAAATTCTAATGTGATCTTGTTTGATCTCATGCTTTGGATGATGTTACGATTGGCTATACCCTGAGTCCTCTTTTTGGCCCAATCCCCCTCTCATTACTGTTTTTTTGTAATTTTGTTGGTGTTGGGTTTTCCTTTATGTCTGATTGCCTTTTGTCATTAATATACATACTTTGCTGAACAATTTCCCAAAAAGAAATAATTATAAGTTCTTGTATTGTAATTTTTATTTTTTAGAATAAAATTGGAAATATGTGCCCTTAATTAAAAAAAAAAAAAAAACTTGATAAGACGAGTCGGTCTCCCACTGAGTGCGGCGGAATCCATCCAATAGAGCGGCTTAACTTTTCCAACCAAAATTACTTTTCGTTATACAGTCCATCGTCGGCTTCTGGAATGAGATTCCTAGATTGCTCGCACAAAGCTTAAATAGAGGTCTACTAGCCTCTATTATCTGCTCACACTCTCAGCTCCTCTCTTCCTATCTTTGTCACCTTTGCCCCATTTTCGTTGCATGTCCAAGTTTGGTCCATCTTCAACCCCCCGATCCAACAACTGAAACCCTCAATCAAAGTGGAAGCAGACCGGCTGACGGGATCAAAGTCGGCTCTTTCGCCCAAGCAGGATGCTCGCAGGTAGAACCGGAAAACCATCGTACTTCTTTTATCTACTTGATCTTTCAGTAAGTTGACTTGTAATCACTTATCTTCTTCATTAACAGGATAGTTATCTTTAAATCATGTAGGTAATTGCTTTTTAAAAGTATCTTTAACTCGGTTTCTATACTTTTTCTCTCCTGAAATTCTTATTATTAGCGTTAATCGGTTATTCAGTAACATACTTATCTGTAGTTCCGCAGTAAATTGTTGTTCTGCCTTGTTATAAGGTAAGTGGCTGGAAAGTTTTCTTAGAATCTGCGCTCAATATGTTCAGCTAGCAGTGTGGTTTGTGAATATAATATACTGATAGCCTTAACTTTTTGGTTTGTTGGGTTTAAGGCTTTTCTTCAATGCGTTGGCCTTGCTGCTTTACAATTATCACGTTTTTATTGTTGATAGGAAGTATAATTCTGGCCAGGTGAACATTAAAAAAAAAAAATTAAAAAAAATATATATATATATATTAATACTAAAAAAATTAAAAGACAAACAAAGTATCAATTACTTGTTTGCGCTAACTTTTGGACCATATGACAAGATGTTGGCCAGATATAAAGCTTGCGAAGCACTTGAAATGAAATCAAATTTGGTTTATAAAGTTTGGAGGGAGCCATAAGTGTAGGTTTTTCATATTTGGTGAGTAGAAAAAAGGTTGGGAGAAGGTATTTTTTAATGCCAATAGTAGAGTTCCTGCAGTTTTGGGTTTCACTGAAGCAAGTTTAGTGACTGGATTGATACGGTTTAAGTACACCCTGAAGATAAAGTTCTGGTGGAAAAGTGAGCATGTGAGGGTGGAAAAATCTTTGCAATTTTGTCATGACCAATATGGGATTGGAGCTGACTCGATCTACTTTTTAAGCTTCTAACTTGTTTCTAATATAGGATAAGGATATTGTTTTAATGATTGTTTTGTGACTTATGAAATAAATTCTGTGAAAAATACTTATGTTTTGCTTGGTGGGAAATGTGAGCTTTCTGTGATTGAAATTCAAATAATAATATATATATATATATTGAAATTCTTAAACATTGTATCCATCAATTGACATTGCTTGATATCCAGAGCATCCAAGCTAGGTTTGACTTGCCTTTGGCAGTCGCTGAACAGAGTTATGGAGAGGAACATTTGCTGGCTCCTTATAGTACATGACCTTGTTCCTGTGTATCGGTTCTAATATGTTTTTTTTTTTAAACAAGTGTGTTAGTCCTAAAAAAAGAAAGCAAAATGCCAATTCGGTCTTGTGATTTTTTCTTTGGTACACACCTTGTGCTTATAAATGTATTCATCTAGTTTGTTGCGAATTCTACTCTTTTTTCAAGGCCCAACATTGAATCGAAAATGCAATTAACATAATGTATTAAATGATTCATGCTATGATTGTTCGACAAGTTTATGTTGGTTGTTGACTACCTAATATATCCCTCCACTTTTGTCACCCATGTCTTTGGACCCGACAACGACAATGTTATGGAAACTAAATGAGTTGGAAAAAATGCTAAGATGATTGATAGTTTATGATTTAAACTATGATATTTATATAGGAGTTATACTATAAATAGTATATGTGTGATTATAAATAAGAGTTTGAAAGATAATAGTTTAAAAATTAATAGAATTGAAGATATAATTATAACTTTAAAGATGGTTGTTGATGCTGAGATTATTAATATTATAAGTGCTTATATTTTTTGAGCAGATTTAGATGTGTTTAAAATTAAAATTTTGGAATGACTTAGAAGAATTAATACAAAATATACCTATTGAAGAATGTTTTTATTGGAAGAGATTAAATGAACATGTTGTTAGAATAATATAAGATTTTAAAAGTATTCACGATGGCAATAGATTTGGAGCGACTAATGAAGGTGGTCTGATCATATTAGATTTTGCTCTAGCTTATGCTTTTGTAATTGTTAATATCTTATTTAAGAAGAAAGAGAAATTTTCATCACTTATAAGAATGGATATAATAAAATTCAGATTGATTATTTTATCATAAAGAAAACTCAAATTGGTTTTCTCCCCTGTTTCATATTTTATTCTTATTTTATTCATTTACACTATTTTAGAAAGGTCATCTGATGACTGTAGACCTTAGCACATTTGTTGAGAGGTTTGATGGAGAAGTATAGAGCGAGTAAGGAGGATCTATATATATGATATTTATTGATTTAGAGAAAGCATATGATAAAATTTCAAGAGAAGTGCTCTGTAGGATTCTAGAAAATAATGGAATTAATAATGCTTATATTTAAGTCATTAAGGATATCTATTAGCTATGTTTAAAATTGCGCAATAAGAGGCGCGCCTCTGCGCAATTTGACCCAAAACTGCCTTGAGGCTTACGCAATTCCTCTCCTGGCAGAGGCGTACGCCTCACTTGCACTGAGACGTGTCTCAGAGGCGCAATTGCGCAATTCTGGCTGAGGCGTATACCGCCTCAAATATTGCCTAGTACACTCAGTATATGCTCGGTACCGCTCAGTATATGCTCGGTATAGCTAGGTATTTGCTCGGTACTGCTAGGTACATGCTCGGTACCGCTCAGTATATGCTCGGTACAGCTAGGTATTTGCTCGGTACTGCTAGGTACATGCTCGGTACTGCTCAGTACCGCTAGGTACATGCTTGGTACTGCTAAGGAACATGCTCGGTACCACTCGGTATCTTCCCATAAAAATAACTTACGAACTTCAAAAACAAATAGAACTTCAAAATTACTCTTACAATAAAATTTTGTTCCGGGGGCGCTGCCCCCGAAACCCCGCAGGGGCGTGCCGCTTGACCCGCGACCTGACCGGTCAGGTCGAACCCCGCCAGGGGCAGCGCCACCTTGGACCCCCGGCAGGTCCGGCATATTGTTCTATTCATCATCTTTAGTAATAGTTGTTAGTGTTAGTCTACTTGTTCATGAGTGCATGCTTTGATTGGAAGACATTGGACTCTATAGGAGAGGAGGAAGGGGTGAGAAGATTCCCTTGAAGACCCATTAGTGATGGGACATGATTGGATTATATATGTTCTTCTTAATGTACTTTGGGAGTTTTGATAGACTAATATTTTTGTGGTTTTGTATTTTGGGACATGATTTTATGCATTTATTTCTTACTTTCCCCTAATTTTAATTGTCATTTAGATGTTTTTATTGTATGATAGAATCTTACTATTTTTTACTTGCTAAAACCCTTAAATTCTCATTTACGCAATTCTTCATCGGTGAGGCTTACGCCTCACACCGCCTCGAGGCTTACGCCTCGCCTCACGGACGAAAAACGCCTTGAGGCTTATTTACGCAATTTTAAACCTTGGTATATAGAAGCTATTACTTGTTTTCAAACACAAGATGTTTTGATCAAATATTTTCCTATTTCAGTTAGATTACATCGAGGATTAGCTTAAAGCTCATATCTTTTTGCTTTACTCGTAGATGTTTTTACAAGACATTTGCAAGAGGATATACCTTGGTGTATGCTTTTGTTGATGATATTCTTCTAGTTCATAAGACTAGAGAGGGAGTTGAAGAACTTAAATTATGGATGTCAACGTTAGAGTCTAAATATTTTTGTTTGTGTAAATCTAAAACCAAATACATAGAGTGTAATTTTAGTTGTAATGGATCTAGTGGTGGGATTGCAACATTTGTTGATCAAGTCATTAAAAAGAGTGCATATTTTTGATATCTCGGATCTATTGTGAAAAGTTATGCTGAAATAGATGGAGATTTTATTAGAGAATTTAAGATGAATGGTTGAAGTGGAGGAATGCATCAGGCCTGTTGTGTGATAGAAAAGTACCCGTCAGACTTTAGGAAAAATTTAATAAGATGTGATGAGACCTGCAATGCTTTATGATGTAGAATGTTGGCCATTAAAAGAGAAGCATAAAATTAAATTAAGGCTTCATTTGGGACATTTTTCTTATTGCTTTCCAAAGAAGTTTTCTAGTACAAAAATTTCTAATTCAAGAAATTTTTATACTAAAAAGCTGCTTTAGAAAGAAGTGAAAAAACTTTCCCAAATGAAGCCTAAGTGTTGTAGAGATGAGAATGCTTAGTTGAATGAGCGGTTTTGCATTTAGAGACAAAATGCAAAATGGGTATATACGTGAAAAGGTTGGAGTAGCTCCAATGGAAGATAAGATTAGGGAGAGTCTCCTTAAGATATTTTGGTCACATAAAATGTCAGCTTTTCGATGACTCAGTTAGGAGAGCAGATGTATTAGATCAGACTTATGTTAAGACATATAGAGGTAAACTTAAAAAGACTTGGTGAAAAAGTATTAGAAATGAATTTCTTTTATTAGATTTAAATGATAATTTGACTCTTAATAGGACACAATGAAGAAAAAATATTCATATAGTTGACCTCGTAGTTGGATAAAGACTTAATGTTGTTGTTGTTGTTGCATTGAACTACTATCTTAGTTGTAATAGTAAGCCTATTGGTGTGGCATGCATGTGTCATGTGTAAGCAGAAGCATAGCATAATTGCATGTGGTGATGAGGAGGATTTCATTTTGAAGTTATAAACCAAACTAAGCTGTGTTTGAAGGTTAAAATAAGAGGTTTTTGGGGTACATATAAGTTTGATATGTACAGTGAAGCTGAAGGAAGTTCATTTTCTACTGATAATGATACTAGGTTTTGCAGATGGTTGAATTTAGGATTCTTTTGCTTTTCAAAAATATTTCCCTTTTGTCTATGTCTACTTAATATCTTCAATAATAAAGGTCATATTGTCATAGTGCGGGATTGAGAGTTACAAGAGAAAGTGGCTATGTGTGAACATAAGGCTATGCCGCCATGTATTAGCAATGTCTTGAACAAGAGCTAATAAGCTTATCATCCTTATTTATGGTTATAGATTTATTGAAAGAAATTTTTTCCTTTGAAGTTTGGGAGGTATGAATGACTGTCGGGCTTTTTTGCCTGCCTCTCCTCCATTTGCATAAGCATGAAAGCTCTTCCACAAACTGCAATCAGGCTTAACTTGACCAGCATCTGGGAATAGGTTTGAGACTAAATTCAAATCACCGAGACCAAACACATGGAAGAAAATAAAATGCACAAAAACTTAAAAGATTTTATGTAAATGCTCGCTCAATGATGACCATTCATCTTTCTGTTATAGTTACCCATATAATTGCAACGGGGAAGTTTTACAATGGTCAATTACACAATTTCACTCTCTCTTTGCATTTTTTAATCTCTCATGTGTATTGAAACCCAAATAACAGTAATCTTTTTATAATGAAAACATCAGCTAACCGAAATCACATTTGAAATCCCTAAAAACACTGAATGAAACAACTTGCAAATATTGTGTACTTTTCTGAGGCTATACCTCTAAATCTTTGGGAGGGGCCTTCTCGCCCCCATTGAACCCCTATGATGATCTTATTGCAAGGATCAATCCATACTTGGTCTTTTGGAAAGGCATTTTCATTGTTGGGCATCAATTATGCTCCACATTTTAAATAACACTTCACATAATAGAATCTACTTCAACCAAGGTTATCCAAATCCAGGACTAGTCCATTAATAGTTGCTTTGCCTGCTGTGGCTTTCATACAAAGTTATGAATTTCTTACAGATTATCAAACATTTAATAAAATGAATGATTGCTAATATCCTTTGTAGAAACACACCCTTCTTGATGCATAAGTTTGTGCATTCCCCTAATTCATTTTGGATGTTTAGACTATAATTTTATAAACATCACTTGCATGGTATCAATTCATCATTTTGAATGATTTGAACTTTTCAATCTTTGTGATCAAATGATCACAAAACATGATTTTGCATGCTGCGGTTAATAAGTGGTGAATACGTTCAGCAGTTTAAACCTTTAATTTTGGTGCTTTGAATTCCAAAAGGTTAAAAACAAACATATTGGAATAATAATTCAATTCTCTTAATTTCAACATAGGTTATAGTTATAAGACTCCATGTGGATGGATGGATATTGTCTTAGGAAGATAAAGCATTTGTTCTCTCAAACTGAGTGCAAGCTTCTGTCTTTCAAATATACGTTTATGACTATATATTACCTTCAACATTGTTAAAAGGAGTTTGGAAATAAGATCTTAGACATTTATGTTACTTTGAACACGAATTTATCTCACCAATTTTTTCATTGATGGTGTAGCTAGGATTAATTTGTTTTCTTTTATTTTGTAATAGCTTTGTCATATTTAATTTTTGGATGTTATGCCTTTGGATGGCTAGGCATCTCACAAATACGTAAAGCTTCAGTTTTCCTTCATAAAACCCAATTTCTAGATTATTATAAAGTCTTTACTTAATTTAAGATGGGCTACCTCAGACATTACTTCTTTAGCAAGCGTCTGTTTGTAATTCTCATTACATAGTCCTCTAGAGCAGATATAAGGACCGAGAAAGGATTTTTCTTTTGCATTTTAGAGCAAGAGTCACTTTCGCTTAATGCTCTTCTATCTGTGTCTATAAAAGTGAGAGCTTGTTTTTATATTCAACACTAATCTGGAAGTTCCTGGTGTCAACTAGCACATGCTAAATTTCTTATATGGCACTATCCTAAGTTGATCTTGCATTCCGTGTTGGATCAATTAATATATTCCTCAACATTCCACCATATTATGGGGCTTAGTAAATATTCTCAAATGATTTTCAACCCTTCAAATATGATTTCATTTGCTCTGTTCTTTTTTTTTTTTTTTCTTTTCTTGTGATAAGTCTTTTGGGGGAGAACCATTGTGATTTTTCCTGTTTTTAGGAATACATTTATATCAGAGATATGTTTAACTTCTTTTTAGCATGCTTGATGAAAAAATAGATCCATTTTTTGCTTTGAGTTGCTGGATTTTTACGGCTTAGTACATTTATACAGTATGGCGCATTAGGCTTAAGATTGCATGAGAAGTTCAAAAGTTTTTGCATACTCTTCCAACAATAAGATGATATTTATGCAATGGGTTAACCATGCATGTTCAATGCTTCTAGTTTTGGTTAATTTGAACCAAATTTATGGAGAAGGATTTAATAGAAATCATGATGAAGATCAAGGAGAATGGGTAAATGAACGGTTTTATGCATGGCATTTGTGCAAAAAGCAATTACATGAAGTAATAGTTGATACCACTTCTAGTAGTCAACTAGAAGGATGACTCATTAGACTAACTACATATAGGTGGGAGTAGACTAATAATTATCTTGATGGTGATGATATATTAATTTTAGTAAGTAATGGTGTGATTTTCTTTTTATATATGCTCTAGCATGATCATACCATCCCAAAAAAAATGCTGAAATTCAGTTCCTAATTAGTTTAAGTGCATGGTGTTAATGAATCACTAGTGTATTGTTTCCTTATGGTGTTAATAAATCACTACCATGTATTTTTGCCTTCTTTACTGGGTGTATTGATACCTTTGTTTCAGCAAGTTTATCAACAAATTGTTTCCATCCTTTAGGGTGCTTTCAGCTTTAAAAAGAGCATTTTTTAGGTGATTTAGGAACTTTTGATTAAAGAACAGCCTAATGGATTCTGCAAATGCTGCCTTATTAGCTCAAATTTGTTTTGAGATAAATTCCACCTTTTTTTTAGAAAACCAACCATGTTGAAATTACATCTTATTTTAGTTCTTTCTGTGGCATGTCCTTCTTCAATGAACAAATTAAGCATATTTTTTGTCGTTCTTTATTCAATAGAATATCATGGAACTTTCAGAAAGCTCTGCGTGAAGTTTGTATGTTTGAAGTAAGATTTATTCTCATGCTTCAAATTTCTTTGTCAATTACCTTTGTTGTTCAGTAAGATCTGATAGAAATGAACTTTCATGATTTTGTTGTGTCGTCGTTCTCAAGATTTACTCTCATGCTTCAAAATTCTTTGCTGATTACCAAGTTTAATATTGTCTGACAGAAACAAACTTCAATGAATGTCTGCTGTAACAGGTTCAAGTTTTGACTATGATAAATTGCGCCAGGAAGCTCAGATCCGATGGCTGAAACCTTTAGAAGTTTTCTTTATATTAAAAAACCATGAGAGATACCAAATTGAACAAGAAACTCCTGAAAAACCACTTAGTAATATTTCTGTCTTGTATATGGACATTTCTTCCTGTCTTGTACTCCTTTCTGCTAGTAGTGAAGATGTAAATATTGCCACTATTGTTTTTTACAGGTGGCTCTTTGTTCCTTTTCAACCGTAGGGTTCATAGGTTTTTCCGAAAGGATGGTCATGTGTGGAGGAAAAAGAGGGATGGTAGAGCAGTCGGTGAAGCTCATGAGCGCCTGAAGGTTTGTCCATGATTTTTTTATTGTTTTTTTTTTTCAAAGTTAAAGTAGAGGCCTCACCGACAGTAACAATTTGGCTGCATTGTTTTGACATGAAATGTCACGGGTTTGAAGTTGGAAAGCTTTTATGTGTTGGTAAGGCTATTTATACTAGAACCACAATAGACGTCCGCTTATTTTATCAAAAGTAGCCGTGACATCCAGTATCATCGTTTGGAAACTGCTCGTTCTCTATTTCTTTAACAAAAAAGTACATGGGCCATTGAGTTGCCTGCAGTTTCATTGCTTTGATAAATACTTGGCATGCATACCGTATGCAGCATACTGATGCGGCTGGCATAGAATTATAGGATATTAAGTTAGTTTAAGGCTTCGTTTGGGACAGCTTTCTTACTGCTTCTTAAAGCAACTTTTTAGTATAAAAATTTTAATTTTTAAACTAAAAAATTGTTTTAAGAAGCAATAAAAAAGCCAAATGCAATTGAGGAAATGAATCAAAGAGCGAAATAAAAAAAAGGGGTGAAGAGTTGCATCTCTTTCGAAACCTGCCTCCAAGTTGGCCCCATATTACGCATTTGCTGCCAAACGAAGCAATAGTTCGTTCAAAAATAAGGTAACCACTTGATCATTTCTTTAAAATAAATGGCAAAAATGATTAGAGGGAGGATTTTTCGAACTTCTTCTTCCCTTTCTCTCGATAGATCATACAATCCAACCTCCACGTCGGCCTCCGCTTGAACCAACTCGCCTCGATGCGCTAGTCGCCGCCTAGGTCTGATCAAGCCGACCAAAGCCGTAGCCTCCTATTCGCGAACCACATACTCCACCGAAGCCACACCAGTCTATCGTCGGCCAGCTTCCATCCTGACATCCAAGTCGACGCCTTCATCTGACTGTGAAGCCCTAGCCGACAGAACTCATGCGATCAATCTATGAGTCCCACTCCCCTGTTCGGCCTCCTGTGAGTCGCCCAATCTTTCGCCTCCAACCGTGCCCAATGCCTCATATTCACCACACAAACATTATATTGGAAGCAAATGAGATAACCGGAGTGACTTGTTAGTTTTCAATCGTGAAGAATTATATTTCCAGTCAAAGGGCCGGTGGAGTTGTGGGTGGCATATATGAAGTAAATGTCAGAAATCTGCTAGCTACATGTGCTCTACCTGTACAATTTTGCTCATGGAAACAAGTGAGAATGCTGATGACGATAAGGATGGAGTAGATTTTAATGACTGTAGTTGTCTAGAGTACCTTTTTTTAAGGACTACTGGATAGAGTGAAATGAAACTGTCGGCTTCTCCTAATGAGTTTCCACAAACTATTATGAAAGAATTAAGTGATTCATTTCTTTCGATGGATGTCACTTTTGGCAAAAGTTGGCAAAAGTGAGCCAGATAATAAATCTTTATCTGAGGAGCTAATATCACAATCTAATAGAAAGGATGCAGTTTGTAGACGATCAAAAGCTTTCAGAGGGAAAGATAGAATCTGTAGAGCAATCATGTAATTCAGAATTGATTGATCAGGTCCAACAAATCTCAGAATTAACAAAAGTTGAAGATACCAAGCCAACATCCATTGTCCTGAAAGAGGAACCTAGAACAAAAGATAGTGCAGCTTCTACCTTAGATGTTAATGTGGTGGCAGATTTTCAAGCTTTTGTTTGGATAATTAAAATGATTCTTATCTAATTTAATAAATTATAATAAATAATAATTTCTAAAAGGTAATGAAGACCCGCGCCATCGATCTTAGATCTGGGCGGATGGTTTTAAAAAAAATTGAAGACCTCGTGCCGTTGATCTTAGATCCGGGCAAGATGGATCCAAGTCGAAGATCCTACGCCGTTGACCTTAGGTCCGGGTAGAAAGAAATTATGGCAGATGCCGTTCCGATTTCTCTGTCGGTGGGGAGGAGATGTCGGGAGGTTGCCGAAGTTTCTTAGGAAGCTACATAAAATTTTTAGAGTAATTATTGAGCAATTAAATTTGAATATTTGATTAATCAATTAAAAATTTTTAATTAATCAAAATTAATTGAAATTAATTGATTGATTATTTTAAAGAAAAATTCAAGAGCATTTGAAATCAGTAAGCTTTAAAATACGAGAGCTTTAAATTTTGAGAGTTTTCAAGTATGTGAGTTTTGAAAATTGAAATTAATATTATTAACTAAAAAATTTTGATTTTTAGTTAATTGATTAATCAATTAAGCGTAAAAGAAAATGCAGGCAGAGAAAATAATGTTTCCAATAATCAGACATATACAAGCTCTCAATACAATTCTCACAAACCCTCCAATAACTTTCAATTCAATACATCTCTCAAATTAATACAACTTTCAGAACCTCCATAGAATTTTCCAAAGATCCCTCATGTATGAGCTCCTACAGCTAATTGTGGACTCTATCCTCTGCAAGCCCCGGCTACTGCAACTACTGACTACGAACACCTGCAAACAAACAAATGAAGAGTCAGTATATCATAAATAAATTGATTGAATGCTGATAAATCTAAGCTAATGCAGGTAGAACAAAATACTGAAAAGCAAGAAAAGCTAATTACGAAAAAACTACTAGAGCAATAGTGCTAGAAAAAAAAACGGGTAGAGTAGTGGACTACTGTAGTTAGAAAAAAAATAACAAGCACAGAACAACTAAAACACTAACTCAGTGTCAAAACCCCGAAGTGTCAAAATCACAAACTCAACCAACTCAAACAAGTTCAGAACAATTCTCCAAACAATCAAATTTAAACATTTGGGCAGCCTTGTTTATAAAAACTTGGTTATAAGACCCACTACCCGACAACTTTCAAAGGAAAGCAGCAAGTCCGACTTTAAGGGAAAGTTTTAGGTAAAATTGATCTAACCCCTAACCCTCAATTAAAACACCGGCCACTTCTAATAGAAGCCATAAGTCCGACATCTGAGGGAAATATTTAGGTAATAACACAACCCTAGACACTCACCCGGGCATCTTAATCTATAAGGCTAGGTTGTAAGACCAATCACTCGGGCCACTTAGCTTACAGGGCTAGGTCGTAAGACCCATAATTAGACAACTTCTAAAGAGGCACTAAGACCCATCCAACTGAAATATTCGGGTTACCCTTAGTAGAGGTTGTAAGTCCCACTAATTGGGCCTCTTTCTAATAAAAGCCACAAATCCCTATCCAAATCTAGTCACACGGACAACTCTTATTAAAAAATTAAGGCAAAAGCCTAAAGAAAAAATTTCATCTTTAAATAATATTTTGAAATACGGTAATTATGATTCTTATGTTGAAAGCATGTAGAATTTCTATTGTAGGATCTCCTACCCAACTAATTAAAGACTTCGGGCATCCTAACCTGTAAAGCGGGCTAGATTGTAAGACCCACCAACAGATCACTTCTAAGTGAAGTTGTAAGTCTCATGTGTTAGGGATACTTTTAAAATAAAGTATAACAACCTTAACGCTCCTACAAATAACCAAACAACTTCTAAGGAAACCACTGAATCTTCAAACCAACCTTCCAATCAAAATTTATTGGCATTTTAGTCTAAAAGGATTAAGTTATAAGACCCGCTTTTTAGGCTATTTCCTAAGAGAAGTAATAAGTTCTATCTAAATAATTAAAACCTCTGGGCAGCCTCACTGTAGAGTTAGGCTGTAAGACCCATCCTTGGGCAACTCATAAATAGCCATTCCAAATCAAATCCCCGGGCTACTTTCTACGAAAGTCGTAAATCCCAACTCAAATCTAAATATCTGGGCTACTTCCTAAAAAAGCCATAAGACCCGCTCTAAACCAAATTTTTGGGTTACTTCTAAATGAAGTCATAAATCTCAAACTAAAATAAATTTATGGGTATTCTAATAGTTGTAAACCCCAAACCCCAAACAAAAAAAAAAATTAAAACTAAAGCCCACACTTAACCACCTCAGTATACTCGGGATCCCTGAGAGGAGGCAACCCATGACTGCTAATCAGATTTCTTGGACACTACAGTCAATGATTGTTAGTATTGGTAGATCGAAATCTACGGTATACCCGGGACGATAGAACCATGTGATCTTGATCAGATTTACCTCCACTTCTTCTACTAATGAGACTAAAATTATCTAAAATTTGTTCATCCTTAATCGAGAGTTCTCTCTTACGTAGTAAGAGGGGTAATTAACTATGAGTGCTTGCACTCATAGGAAGTAACGACCCCAGATCTTTAAACCCTTACACTACCCTCAGGGGAAATCTGGTTAACTACAATCTAACTTAAGGGAAATATAATCATATAGCTGCAAAGCGAGATTCATGCATTCGTGCCATTTTTTTTGAGCCAACACCCAAACGAAGCCTAAGTTAGAACCAAGCCGTTTCTAGGATCTGTTTTGAAGTTGAGGATCCTCTAACATTATTCTGTTCTGTTATAGTCTGATAAAAATAGGGAAGGATTTGAACCCGTTAAACTGCCTTGGCACGTTTTAGAATACTGGGTATATTTTGTTCTAACATTGGATGCTAGTTGATAGGATACCGCTTGCAGCAGCAAAAGCATTTAGGTTGCAAGTAATGTCATTGAACGTATCCTAAAAGTAGAGTTACTGCTAGATGGCAAGCTATCATAATATTATAAATTTTTAATGAACTGCCTGAGTCAGGTGGTAAGATGTTTATCACTGTTGACCTTGTGCTATGGTTGGGTTCTTAGTCATCTCAATGGGAGTTCCAAAATAACAAGAAGCTATAATTTATTTAGTAAATCATGTTATTTCAGCCTGATATACTCTGACACATATTTCCCTTTACTAAAAGTTTATTGTGAATCTGAGCAATGGCCATGTCTATTTTTATAATTAATAATTCAATAAAGAAAGTTTGTGGTGGCTTTTACGTAATTTCCATATTTTCAAATCGTTGATCAGTGTGGGCTCCGAAAATTCGGCCCAGGCCTCCGCCCGCTTTTTTGCTTTTTATTCGGCGAGCGAGTTTTAACGGAATAAGTTCCGGGGTAAATTTTGGAAGGCAGATGAGTTTGTAAATAAGACATTACCCAGAGATTTCTCCCTCATTTTGTGAGTACTTTATAATCTGAGTTCTGGTTTCATATAGGCGCAAGCCCCTATAGTTAATTACCCCTCCCGATAACGAAAGAGAACTTTCGATTAAGGCTAGTCGTCAATCCGATACGTAGAAATACGTGTTATCTGGCATATAGTAGCAGCATTGATGTTTGGAATTTGAGATTTTATTGAGAATTTGAAGATTTGATATTTAAAATTAGAGAATTTCACTATCTTGCACTTAAAGCGGATGGTGGAGGATTGGATATAGACCCGATCAAGATCCTATGGTTCCGTCCTCTTGGGCCATCGTGGTCCCTGGTCTACTTAGTCAGAGGAGGTAGTCGACCCAAACTGACAGAAAAATCCTTGTTGGCAGCCATGGGTTGTTTCGTCCAAGGAGACTTTGTAGATCTGGGTTGGATGTTTATCTAAGGGGACAAATTTGAATCCACCTTAGCTAACAGAGGGCTTTGTGCCATATCGATCATATCCTATTGATTCATATCTCAATGATTTGATGCCAATAAGGAGCGTATTGACTCTGGCCATAATCGGCATTTTGTAGTGCCATTTGGAGCAAAACCACTGGGTTCAGAGGGCCCCGGGTCATAACCGTTTATCCTGCGGTGTCATTTGGCAGCAAAACCGCCGGTTAGAGGACACGTACCACATCCTTACTGGTAGGAGATTGTTTGAGAATGGATCCTAGTGATATTTTCGACCAGGCATTAGCTCTATGTGAGCTGAAGTTATATTTGAATTTAGCCACCCCAGCAAACTTTTGTGGAGGGTGGATGGATTGTTCTTTTAGTGATTTGATGGATTATTTCAATTTTAAATATATGAAATTTAGAATGATTTTAGATTTCTTGGACATTGTGGAGTTTTGGATTTCAAGAGTATTTGGGATGACATTTTGAATTATTTAGAATAGACCCCTCCAGTTGAGATTTTCTGTCAACACGGCTATCATCGGGGTGAAGGGGGGTTATTTTCATTTAAAGCTTGAACCTTGTTGACCCTATCAACCTGCCAATAGGGGATCAGGTTTCATAGACTTTGTGCCTTAATTAGTGAATTCTCATTGTTATAGGCCTTGAAGGCCTAATATGAATATGTTAAGACAAATATACTGGCCGCTACAACTGCATATTTGTTTGATGGTTCGAACCTTGTCAACTCCTATTGATCCGTATAGAAGAATCATGTTTGAACTTGAGTTCACTTATTGACCCGCGCAGCATCCCTAGACATCACGTGTGTACCAATAACACGCTCGTCGGGGCGCATGCGGGTGTTTGGGGGCATTTTATGATTATTTATTGAACCTTGTCGACTCCTACTTGCTTAGTAGGATCGGGTTCAAATTTATTGACCTGCGTAGCATCTCTAGACGTCACGTGTGTACCAATAACACGCTCGTCGGGGCCCATGTGGGTGTTTGATTTTACTTGCCCCTTTCGTGTACCTATGTGTATACAAACTATGGTGCACGTGCGGTGGTATTTTGAAATATTTGTAAAACGTCTTCTGTCCGCTTGTATGAATATTGCAGATCCAGTGGCGTGGCGTCATAGGTTCTCCACTATTGCTGCTTGTAGGTAGGTAGATATCTTCATTCACATATTAAAATCGACTACAGGATACTGCATACAATGAAGTTTTTTTGTATCTACCCAAAAATGATATGTTGTTCCTATATATGTATTCATGAAGAGCCCGTATATATTGCAGATTTTTTACATTTGCTTGCAGATATCGAGTTGAATATATAATGGGCCTCTTTCAGTAGCTTGTGAGTATTTATATTTGTTGTAGTCACTTTGCACTCTGCTTGTGGACAATGTATTGGGTGCCAATGGTCTCCCATAGCAGCTTGCAGGATTTGGTATTTGTCGTAGTCCTTTTGTATTTTGCATGTGAATATCACGCTTGGCGTACAATGGATCTTCTACGATAACTCGTAGGAGCCTACATCCACTGCATATCTTTCATCTTTGCCTGCACTGAATCAATGTATTTCATAACCATTGATTGTTTATTGATTGCAAATATGCTGTATCATTTGTTATTCGTTGTTGATTGTCATCGTTGCACATGTGTATGTTTGATACAATTGGTGTATTTGATTGTGCGTATTTCAATTCTTCCAGCAACTGTTGCCTGTATCCTCAAGACACTACAAGCTTCTGTCAAATTCATTATTGTTGATAGAAAATTTACACTTTTGTTGTAGTAGCTTTCATGGGTTAACTACAACATTCATTGTAGCTCTTATACGATAATCATTCAATTGAGGTGATGATTCCTTTTGATTGTTGCTTGGGGATGAATCATGTTTACAAATCAGTTATCATGCTCCTAGGGCCCTCATATAGTGACTTTGAGGGCAAGCCATGCCTTTCATAATCTCTTTTTCTATTTGACTTGAGATTATTGTAATTGATTTATTCTTTCATTTTCATAGGCATATTACAAGAGAGTTGTTTTTTCAAATATTTCAAACTCCACAGGATGCTATTTAGCTCATGTTTAAGATATCTTTTGCATTTGTTCACTTGATCCTTGCTTGAGTTCAAGTAGCAAGCTCAAGTTATAATTCAAGTTCTCATTTAGCATAAGCCCCATTGCTTGTAAGGCTCAATACGTTTAACTATATTTGGATCTTATGTTTGTAACAAATAGGCATGATTGTTTGCATGTAGATTGATTTGTTTGAACGATTCGAGATAATTTCACCTCATCATTCCTTGCTTATATATCTCTTGAAGACTTAGTCTTCATTCACTTATCTTTGATTTCATCATTTTATGATTTATGACTTTCGCTTCCAAACATTAGACTTTTAGTTTAAGATTTAGATCATTAATTCAAAGTCCGCTTCCGACTTGAGCTTAATACCAAGTCCAAAATGAGTCTTCTTCATTGTCATCTAAAGTGCAAGTCCTCTATTGTTCAAAAGTTTGCAAGTTCTTCCTCACTTGATTCAAGTTTAAGCTCATGAATCTCTTATGCAGCTCATTTGAGTTCAAGCTCTTTGTTCTATTATTCAAGTCCAAATCAAAATCTCCGGCTGTCCTTTCAATTCAAATCATGTCTTTGCTTATTTAAAGTTTATATTCAGTTAGATTTGAATTTATTTAAATCAATTGCATCAAGTCCATAAGTCCTAAATTGTTTCAAGTCATTGTCTTATTTAAGACAATTTCGGCAGCCGCCCATTTAGGATAAAAACTAAGAGGCCACCTACCCGCCACGTCAAGAAAGACGTATACGGTTGGTGTTTATGAGACACCGCGGCGGTGATTTTGTTTGTCATCCACCACGCCAAGAAAGGCGTATATGGATTTTTAAAAGCATTTTTTTGAAAAAGTAGTTTTTGTTGTCCCGCCGTGCTAAGAAAAGCACGCACAGGGATCGTCTACTTCGCTGTAAGCACCGGACCAAGTTCCCTCTAACCACGCTAAGAAAAGCGTGCATAGGCAGTCCCTTGGCTCGCCACCAACACCGAAAAAGGACTTTAGGGGGGGGGGGGTTTACTCGCCTCGCCACAACAACCGCGATGAGCTCCCTCCCACCGTGCTAAGAAAAGTGCGCATGGGTGGTTATTCATCCCGTTGCAAGTGCCGAGGGTGGGTTCTCCCAAGTTTAGGAGGTTATACCTTGGCGACTAGCGATGTAGAGGTGGCACGAGGATCAAAACAAGAGAGGCAAGAGGACCTAATTTTTTATTAATTAATTATAGTTAATTAATTAACTAATTATAAGTAATTAATAATAATTAATTATAATAAAAAATAATTAACAACAAATAATTACTCATGATTATTATAATTAATACTAATTAATTAATTATGATTAATTGATTATAATTATAATTAATTAATAATTATAACTAATCAATATTTAATTATAATTAGTAATTAATTAATAATAATTAATTAGTTATAAATAACTATTAATTAAAAATATAAAACATGATCAATTATAATTAGTGAAACCTAATTATAATTAATAATGTTTAATAATAAAAAGAAATAAAAACTTCCTCCCTCATATTCTCTCTGTTTCGGCACATCTACAGTATTTGGCCGAAAAAGAGCACGCGAATGGGAGAATTTTACCTTCACAGCAAGCCGGCTCCTGTTGTCAGTCCCGATCAGAATGTTTTGACTTCACCGAGAGAAAGGGGAGGCCGCCGAAGGCGTCAGTTAGGGCAAATTTGAGGAGGTCTTGGCTTGAAGAGGTAAGGAGAGCTCTCTGTCTCTCTCTCTCTCTCGCGTTCAAAGAGATCGGGAGATGCGTCGGGTTGGAGGCGACGGGAGCTTTGGGTTCATGAGATCTAGGTGTCGGCTATGAGGGATTTGAGAAATTGGAGTTGGGCATGGAAGAGGTTTATGGGATCTAGAGTTTTGACGTTGGCTTGAGCTTCGGCAGAAGGGGTTCGATCGAGAGGGAGGAAGAGAAGCGGGGGTCTCGTGCATGGAAAAGGGTTATCGGGAGAGCAAGCAGCTGAAGACTTCATTCGGTTGGGTATTTAACGACACAGATGAACCTCCTCGAGCGGGGATTGAGCAGGAATCGCGGGATACGACTCAAATGGTGCCGAATCAGCACGACTTCAGCAAGATTCGCTGATTCGATGGGTTTGAGGCATGTATGGAGGATTTTTTTTTTTGCTCTTTCTCCATAGGTTAACAATCAGTCAATGAATTCTTGGGATTTACGTGTGATTTGTTTGTATTTTTTTATTGCAATTATTGGCATTATTGTGTTAATTTCATATTGGTATTACCTGATTTCCTAATGAGCAAACGTTGTTGCATTACACTAAAATATCCAGGTTGGGAATGTTGATGCTCTCAATTGTTACTATGCTCATGGGGAGCTAAATCCCTTTTTTCAGAGACGGAGCTATTGGATGCTGGATCCGTAAGTTTATACATGTCTGAATCTTCTATTGATGTTTTTTTATTTGTTAGAATCTTCTTGTTTAGGAGTCCTAAGTTCATGATTTCGTTTGTATTCACTTGTCCTGATGGCAAGACACTTTGCTGTTTGGAACTATATGAATTATTCCATATGCTTGATTTGATCAGTATCCACATGAATATTGTTCGTTAAATGCGAATAAAAAAAAATAAGAGAAGCTGCTTTTGTTTTGAAATCAAAGGGGCGTGATCAAAAGCTGGATAAAAGTTAGGCTTATGGCTTCTTTTGTTTGATATGCATATCAGGTTGAATCTAAAACCTTTTTTTTTATTTTTTATTCTTTCTTGGTAAGTAATTTGATCTTTCTTGTAGCCGTCCCCACATAGTGGGATAAAGGCTTGATGTTGTTGTATGGTTATTGTTTTGTCTGCAATTGTCACTTAAATATAAAATGTGGTTAAATACTCAAAAATGTCAATAAAGCATGCTTATTCACACTTTAAAATTTTGATTAAATGTTAATATTTAATTACCATTTTACAAAAGTTTTAATTACTTTCAAATAATAGAAGATTTCACCTCAACAAAAATGTCAGCCCTCAAAAAGAAAAAACATTTTCCCAAATTATCTTAAATAAAAAAGTGTTGTTTGTTTTTTTATAAAATATGAAAAATTTGTAAAATTTATATGATATTTATAAAAGATATGGATAATTTTTGTATATTAAAAATTAAACTTATAAATTATATGTCATAGATTGGAGATAGAGAAAGTTGAGCAAGAAGTCAGACTATTGTGTCAAATATTGTCTAAGTTTATGGATTTGTAGTTGTATATTAGGGAAAAAGATCAAAATGGCCTCTTGACTTTTTATGAAAGATCAAAATGATCTCCAACTATATTAAATGATCATTTTGATCTTCAACTCTTTCATCAGATGTCAAATAATGATTATTCAAGCTTAAATCATTCCGTGGTCTGAACTAGCAGCTTAATGCAATGTTTTCCTTTCTTGTTTGTTCTCTCCTTTTTACACCTGACTATTGTGCTCTTTTTGGTTGTGCTTTACATTATATCTGCCCATTTATAACCTGCTTCTTGTTACTCATAAGATGTTGATTTTCACTTTTGAGAAGAGGATTATACTGTTTGCATGAGCTTTTGTTGGCCTGTTACATACATTGAGATGAATAAATAAATCCTTTATAACACAACTTTCTTTCTCTTCTCAGGGCTTATGACCACATTGTCCTTGTTCATTACAGAGAAGTGTCTGAGGTTTGTTTCCTACTCTCACAAATATTTTTCTTTCGATTTACCATGGAACATAAGTTTTTAGCTTGTAATTTGTTGATCCTTATACTAACATACTCTCAGAAAGGACTCATAATATAAAATATTTCAAGTGGAAATTGTATATAACATAATCTAAATTCTTTGAGCAAGAGCTATTTGGTAATTCGTCAATCAAGAAAGGAAACAACCTTATTGGTATAACTAATATAACTTTCACATTAGCCAAATTTCAAACTGAACTACTTTGGGCCCAAATTTGATAAAAATATAAAAAATATGAAATTTCACAAAATCTAATTATTCATATAGATTTATCATTCAAAATTTAAAGTAAGATTCATCCATCATCCACAACCGTTTGTCAATGTTAATAAATTTAAGAATAACCTTAGCTCATAAAGAACGTATGCCTTATTGAGTGTATCGCTACGATTCATTCTCAAACAGTCTTTCGTCAGTAAGGGCATGACACATGCCTTCTAGTTAGCAATTTCGCTATCAAATGGAATCACATGTAACTGATTATGATCATAGCCATCTAACTAGGTGGTTTTGTTCCGAAATAACACCATTAAGTTATGGTCATAACTATAGCCCGCAATATGCCCATTAGTTAAAAATACTCTTGAGTAATGAATCATATGATGCACTTGATATGACTACAAATTTCTTTGTTAGGTAAGGTTGACTTAAAATTTATCTCATTACACAAATATCCACCTCAAATCTATAAGGTACTCCCAAATAAGGCAACATATAGCTATTGACAAGGATCTTTCAGTAAAGTTGTATTGACTATCTCTTCTGATTAAGTAGACTATGGACAATGAAAACCTTGGATGACAAAGTCATGAGATTTTGATCAATTTTGTCATCAATTCTCGACCATTCGCTTTAAGTGGTGGTAAATTTCAAAATCACAATATCAAATTTGTTTTTTCCATTTGCTCGCTCAATATCTACTGTCTATCTTACGACTAACCTTAATTGAAGGTTCTCTCTCATCATCGGGAGGGGTAATTAATTATACAGGCTTATGTCTATAAGAAACCTGAAAATATATCATAAAGTTCTTGAACAATAAGAGCGAAATCTTTAGGTAATGTCTTACCTTCAATCTAATATGCCTTTTGAAATTTTGATTCGGCAACATTTCCTTTGAACTCTCCCAAGCAGAGAGGTCAGGCCATGAATTTTAGATGCCCACACCCTCAAATGTTAATTTTTTCGATGCATCCTAAACTCTCAAATTTAATGATTTTTAATACAAATCCCATTTTTCACAGAGAACCACAAATAACTCGACTATTTGTTGAATGAACACATCTGCATCTCGCTTTGTTGTTTCTCATGATTTCTATGTACATCCTTTGCATCTCGCTTTGTTTTTTCTCATGATTTCTATGTACATCCTAAATATCTATCATTGTAAGCATCATAAACTTTGCTTTGCACATATCGCAGTGGGTAAATTATTCATGTCATGGTAACATATCACATTCCTTTGTTGCCGTCGCACATTATCCTTTGTCACAGTCACACATCACATTCCTATGCTGCCGTTGCACATCATCCTTTTTCGCGGTCACACATTACATTTTTATGTTGTCGTCTAACATTATCACCCTTCTTCGCATTGTTGCCACTCAACTCATTGTCATTTAATCTTCATCGAGTGTACCCTGTTCTTTTTCACCATGGGCGGATCCACCACATGCTTAGGGTGGGCAAATGTCTACCCTCAAAATTTTTTTAATATTTAGAGGGAAATTTTTGAAATATTTTGGGTATTTTGCCCCCCCTCAAAAATTTTTTTTGCCCTACTTATATCAATACTAAGCATCTTTGCTCATCCAAAAAAATTTTTTTTTTGCCCACCCTAAAAAAGAAGCTGGATTCGCCCCTGTTTTTCACCTATTCTATGGAGAACAAGTGCAAACATCTACGATCTTTTGGAGAAATAAAAAATGATGCATTATCGATAATGTTTGGACATGATCAATTCAATTTACTTTAGTTGCGCACTAGAGCTTAAACTACATTTGTTTTACACCAATAAAAAAATGGATTCCCTATGTTTGGTTCACGAATAATCAAACATTTTAAGAATTCAAAATAGCACCACATCTATTTTATTCTGAATTTTTAAAAAGAACAAGGTATGCCCGATCGACCCAATTACCCTAGTTTGAAATAGTAATCGAGAGGGAGGAAGAGAATGATACTTACATATAATAATAATAATAATAGAGATCATCGAACAGGAGAATTGGAGAGTTTTAATTAATTAATTAACCAATTTAAAATAAACTTAAAATTTTACTTAAATTAAAAATAATTAATTAAAATATAATTCATTAATTTTAAAGTAAAATAACAATTAATCAAATCTTTTAATTAATTTAATGATTAATTAACCATTTAAAATAGACTTAATTAAAAAACTATTTTTAAAAAAATGATTAATTAAAATTCAACTGAGCAATAAAATTAAAACTTTAATTTAAATTAATTGAGAAAATAATTAAATTAATAAGTAAATAATTTTAAAATATATTTAAAATATGCTAATAAGCTGAGCAATTAAATTTAAACTTTATTTAAATTTTTTAATTAATTAAATAATAACAGAACAATGTTCGTACTATCCAACCTAAGTACAAGCTACTAACTCTCCAACAACTGCTCGCAGACTCAATCTTTCAAAGCTCTCTAGCTCCTGCAACTACTGCAGGTACCATAAAGATAGTTAAATTATATTGTTACAATTTCGTCTTAGTCATCCTAGCTTTGTGTGTCGTGCAAAATTATTTCTCAAATTATTTATCAATAAAAGTACTGCATATTTTCATTTTGAAACTTGTCAGATTGCAAAGTATGCTCAATTTGTATATCTTCAAATTCTATACAAACCTTCAACTACTTTTTCTTTGATCCATGGTGATGTATGGGATCCCTCATTGAAAAAAAGTGTTTTGGGCACTCGCTTGTTTGTGACATTTGTTGATAATTTGTCATGATTCTATTCGAATACTCGAATTAACGAGGCAGGAGTTGATGATTAATTCATTTCTTTCAAATACATAAATAGTTAACAACTAACATCCCCCATAAAATTGAAGAGCCACTAACAAAACTACAAATTTGAACATATACATAAATTAGATTTTTACCTGTTTTCATTCAATCGCATTTTTTCTGTAGACATATTCCTCTCTTTCAGCCATTCTATTTTTCAGAAGACTTATGTGAAAAATTTAGTTAAATAGCTTGAGTTTACATATTAAACTTAGTGTATAATCACGGCTTGTAGTATAACAATTAAACATATACAAAAATAATCATGTGCCTTTGTCTTTTCTCGTGCAATTAACATATTTATTACATTTTTTATGCTATAACGTATTCATAACATTACATATGCTGTAGATTTTCATTATATGTCTTTCAAACAACATATTTCTTTTTCCATTCATGTATTCATTTTCCATTTTCATTTATTCCTTTTCCCTTTCTATTTAGTACACGAGCACCGTTTAAAATTTTGTACCAATGAAGGTAAAAGCATTTCTTCTGCCATTTAATATGCACGGGTACGTTGCATCCCTAGTCAATACTATAAATGGGTGAACTTCTGTATTCGTATACATGCACCTCTTCCTTCTTTTAATACTTTCATTTTCATATAAATATTCATTTTATTTATTTCATTTTTCTTCACATGTCATATTAATCTGTAAGGACATTTTACTCATAATTCATTATTCAAAGGTTTTATATCCATTGTGAAATTGAGAGCTCTAGTTGAGATCGTTTTAATAGTGTAATTTTGAGACAAAACTATCTAATCATAGGGCCTTGATTATAAATGTTTACCTGCAATGTGGTTTGCTGGCAAAATCAATGCTTAGAGGACACATGTCACATCCTTTTTGATGAGCGGTCATTTTAGAATGAATTATAGCAATACAATAGCAAGACATTGGCTCTTTGTGAGCTATGATTAGTATTGAATTTGTCATACGTCACAAATGATTGTGGAGGATAAATGGAGTTCTGCTTTAAATTTTAAAACAATAGATTTAACCTAAAATAATTTTTAAGGTTTTGACAAATATTGGATTTTTTATTCTTTATTAGTATTTAAACCTCAAATGATTAACTAAGGAATTTAGAGGCATTTTGAAAGTAGGGTTTCCTCCAATTGATATTTTCATTTAATACAAATATCATCGGGGTTCAAGTTTTGTCGACTCCAATTTTTATGAGGATTGGGTTTGAAATATGGTAGGCATGGTCCTACCCTAACCCTATAGGCAAAGCGATCCTCTTGAGAACATCTTGTGAAAATGAGAGCTTGAATTTGTACTTTAATGATAATTGATGAATTTTCAAAATAGTCCATTTTCCACAAGGTGTTACACGATTCTTGGAGTGAGTTGTATTTATATTTATTTTTATTTTTAGTTTGCAGTGTTTGAATATTTAGCACGTTTATCCATATGGGAATTTCGGTTTCAAAAAGGTTTGATGCCTTTATGCAATTTTTAGTGTATCCTTGTCAGCTACTTGAATGTTTTTCAGTGCATTTGCATGATGCAATTGCACAATTTCTGGTGCCTTCATACAGCATATTCACATGAATTCATGTGCATCCATACAATACTTGCATATGAATTTGAGGCATTACATTGGAGTTTGCAGCTTGCCTCATAAAATTCGTGCAAGTAATCTTGCTTTGATGTTTGCACAAAATTTTGTCAATATGGTTGTTTGTGATCTTGTCATTTTGATTTCTATTAGTACTGTAGTAGTTACTGAAGGCATTCCCATAAAACCTAAACTTAATGTGGTTGAGTACGTTTCTGGCAGTAATTGTAATACATTATTGTATGTAAACAATATCCACTATTGATATTTGTGGAGCTTGTTGTAGTATGAATTTTTTGAAACGTCCTACACTAAGGAAAGAAGTCTTTTTGGTGAGAAGGCCAAATTAGAATGCACAGTTGAGGAAGGTTGGGATGCAAACAAGTACCAAGCTAGCTGTTCAGTATGATATCAGCCAGGCTTGAACTATTGCAAAATGCATATGCCAGCATCAGTCAGGATGAATCTATAATCTAGATCTCAAGTTGATGAGACGAAGCCGCTTATGACATTAATGATGATATTCCCTACGTATTCTTCTTTTGTTTTTCCTGTTTATGTTTTTGTTGATATAGGTTTATATATAATCTAGTTTAGTTCTTAGTTGTGCTAGATTAATTGCCTTTGCTCATATTTGTTTCCTTCCTTTTAGCCTATTTTTATTTTTCTGTTGTCATTATCACTGATAGTTTGATTGACAGTTTTGCGTCCTTACTACCTAATTCTTCTATCAGGGAAGAAATATGCCACAAACAGTCTCACAGCAACCACAAGAACAATTAACTTATATAAATGGGAGTTCGAATGTCAATAACATCCAGTTTCAAAGGTTCCCATCTGCATATGGTGAAATATATGAATCTTATCAAATCTCTGGCAGTTCTGTTTCTGGAGAAGTTAACTCCAAATATGTTGGAAAAAATTTGGACGCAGATTGCTTGAATATGACCAATAGCTCTGAAAATTCTGACCTATCGTCTCAGTCAAATGTCAATCAAGCATTACGTGAGCTTGCAGAGCAATTAAGCTTGGATAAATGCGATAACAAAATATTTGAAGATTTGTTTCCTGCCCATACCAATGAGTGTGAGAAACTTGAAAATCCAGCATTCCCGGACAATGAAAAAGGGTGTCCCTTTCAGAGTTTCCATGAAAACTTAAATCCAGTGGACTGCTCAACATATGATCAAGGTAAAAATTCTTAAAGTCAATGATTATAACAACATAAATTAATCTGATGTTTGTTGTATTTGTAATTATGAGCATGGAAACTGTCGTCTTTGGTAAAAGCGTCCAGGCTTTCTCTTTAGATTTACTATGAAAGCTAGCTTTGATGCAGTGTATGATATTTTTTGCCTTCATTCCAGATTAATTTCAATTTGAAGCATTATAATCAACCGTTTCATTATCATTCCATGATTGCTGGCAAGTAAAAATTCTAAGAGAAAGTTATACTAATAAGAATTCTAAGAGATGGAATTATTCTACTAATAAATTCAAATCATGATACTAAACTTATTATATCTGGTCTAGTTCAGAAATTTAGAGTTGTGCATGCTTTTGCTGGTTAGGCACTGTATACTGGTGGAATTTTGAAAAATTGATGCATCCTTTATTCTCTTTATTTATTTCGTTGGTACAACATTTTCCTTGCTTTTCACAAAATATGCTTTAGAAAAACAGTTTTTTGGGAAAGAAGAATAGAAATCGTAGTTGAGAATAGTTTTTAAGTTCTGGCGGCTAAAACAAAGAAGTAGAAGTCGCCACAAAGGAAGCACTTCGAGGGATGCAAATACTTGATTTTTGCCACTGTTTTATTTGTGGAAATCAGTACTTTTTATTTAGAACCGAGACTATGTCATAGGAACTTGAGAGTAATAAAGTCACGCTCAACATGCTGGAAGTCAAAGCCTTAACTAAGATCACTGCAGTAAACTATAAACGGCATAGTGTGATATCATTATATTAACTATTAAGGAGTAGGATTGACACCTATTGAAGACAATTCTATGCAAATGTATAAATGTGATTTGGACATTGATCTAGGAGTATAAGATTTCACATATAAGACGAGGATGTAAAATTAATGTTGAAGGTATGGGAAGTAAAGCTGTAAATCAAAGGCAACGTGACTATAAATAATGAAAAAGGATGTTCGCAAGCTAGAGTTAACACATGCAATATTGGATTGGAATGATTGAAGGAGAATTCATTATGCCAAATGAGAAATAGTTGGGGCAGCACATTATGATTCACCCATGCCTAGATCATTTATTCGCTTGCTTCATTTATTTTAAATCCATTATTTTTTCATCGAATAGTTTCCTTAGTTAATATATTAATATTATGTGCTAAATATTTATATTATAAATCTTCAGTAGTTATTAGTGTAATATATTACCAATCTTGTAAGAGCTCTCTTTTATAGTTGGATGAGTAATTAATAGATTTAAAGTAATGGATTTTCAAACTCTCTTGCCTATATATAGGAATGCTTGTATTAGCTTCACAATCATTAAAATTGTAGTCCCTTATGTTCTTTTAATCATGGTATTAGAGAATTTGATCAAACCCCCTTTTCTCCCTTCTTTCCCTCTCTCAATTCTATCTCCCTATCTCTTAACTCAAGTTGGCATATGCCACCTCGACTTTGAAGGAGAATAGTTTCATATTAACATTATCACATGTCCAAAATATTTGGAAATCTGTGATAATTATTATTATAAAATATTCTTATTACTGAAGATATTCTCTTCTATTGTATTTTTATTTATTGTTCTTTTATCTTCCCTTTATATGGACATGCATGGCTAGCACTGAAGTTAACAAAATAAAAATATGGTCGTTTACATTTTATGTCATCCCTTAAAAACTAACATATTGAACTCATTTTCGATGACATTTGTGAAACTCTCTAGAAAATGAATCTGATGACATTTTTTATATTTAGGGGGGATTTACATACATACCACATAATTCTTATATTCACATATCTAAAAGCTAAAATTTGATATTTACTTATATAACACTTAATTCTATTGCATTAAAAATGCTACTAATATTAACATTTTTAAAGTGAAATATGTCTTTTCATGCATTTATTTTGATGTGATTAAGAAATTTAAGTGTTATATAAGAAAATATTAAATTTTAGGTGTTAGATATGTAAATATATAAAATTTGTGTGATATATATGTAAATCCCTCTATAATTTATCATGCTCACTGCCTTACCTATAAGATCAGTAAATCTTTACATTTTTTAATTTGATCATTTTACCAATTTTAGTTGTGGAATTTTGACCAACATTTGAAGCCTTCAAATAAAATAACTGATCGTCACAATGTATTTACTTTTAATTCAGTGTTTTTATAGTGCTATGGAGCAATGGAGAGTTCTAAGTGAAGTGCTATGGAGAGTTTTAGAAAAGCAAGGGGAAATAATGCTTATATTTAATTCATTAAGGATATATATGCAGGAGTTGTTACTTGTGTACAAACGCAATGTGGTTTGACCAAGTATTTTCCTATTTCAATTGAATTACATCAATATCAGCCTTAAGCCCATATCTTTTTTGCTTTAGTCAAGGATGCTCTCACTAGAAATTTGTAAGAGGTTGTACCATGGTGTATGCTTTTTGCTGATGATATACTTCTTGTTGAGAAGACTAGAGAGGGAGTTGAAGTTAAACTTGAATTATGGAGGTCAACCTTAGAGTCTAAAAGTTTTTTTTGAGTAGATCTAAAACCGAATATATGGAGTGTGATTTTAGTAGTAATATATCCAGTGAGGATATTGTGACTTTGGGCGCTCAAGTCATTAATAACAGTACACATTTTATATATCTTGGGTTTATTGTTCAGAGTGATGGTGAAATAGATGAGGCTATTATTAGTAGAATTCAAGTTGGATGGTTGAAGTGGAGGAATGCATTGGACTTGTTATGTGATAGAAAAGTTCTCCTCAAACTTAAGGGAAAATTCTATAAGATGGTGGTGAGATCTACAATGCTTTATGGTGCAGAATGTTGGCCATTAAAAGATAAGTATAATATTAAGCTAAGTGTTGCAAAGAGGAGGATGCTCAAGGAGATGAGTGGCTTTACTCTTATAGACAGGATACGAAACGAGCATATATGTGAAAAGGTTGGAGTAGCTCCCGTGGAAGATAAGATTATAGAGAGTCGCCGTAGATGGTTTGGTCACATAAAATGGCGGCCTTTTGATATCCCGGTTATGAGAGTACATGTATTAGATTTAGCTTATATTAAGAAATGTAGAGTTAGACATAAAATGGCTTGGTTAGAAAATATTAGAAATGATCTTTCTTTATTAGATTTAAATAAGAATTTGACGCTTAACAGAACATAATACATAAAAAGGATTTATGTAGTTGACCCCATGTAGTGGGATATAGGCTTGATGTTGTTGTTGTTAGAGTTTTTTGTAGGAATTATGATATGTAGAAGGAGGTGAATGCTATATTGTTGTGTAATTAAAATGGATAATATTTTTATTTCCCATTCCCTAGAATGGGCTGTGAGCTGTGATTGTTATTTCCTCTTTTGTGATTTTGATGTCACAAATTCTAGCTGAAGAAAACATCTTTTGCAAATATTGAGGCTGCATACATCAAACCTAATGAATGAGTTTACTTTTAGGTAAATGTGCAACCCCTTTTTTTGTTCCAAATGCAAGTGGTGGAATCATTATGCTTAGTGTTGCTCTACTAATCCTTGCTTAAATGATGGAGAAAAAGATTAAAAAGAACCTTGGAGTCATTTAGTCCTAAGACAATGTATTTAATTTAGTCTCTTGACTTCTCAAATATGATTTTAAATAGTCTCTTTATTAGATTATTTGGGATGAAATTTGAGGAGCCAAGTGACTATTTGACTTTTCTCTTAAATTATGCTACTATTGTAAATTTGTTGCAAAGCCTGTCCTACCAGTTTACTGGAATTACATGCGCTTTTATTAAAAATATGATGGGCTTGTGCCTTCTTTCTCATAACTACCTGCATTCGTCATGACGTTCTCTAATAGAAGAATCTTTCTTCTCATTTTTTTAAAGTAATCCGATTCAATTTTCTAAACAAAATAATGCTCGTGAGTTATAGCCATTGATATTCTTTAAATATTTTTATATGGTTTGGTAACTATTTGTATTATTTCTTAGGTGGTAATGGGAAACAGAAGAGCCAATCATCGGCTTTTCATCATAGCATTACCAGAAAAAACTCTCCTTCGTGGAATGATATGTTAAAACTCAGTTCCAGTTCTACCGGAATCAATGCTGATTTAAGAGTGATAGATTCAGTGGCTCTTTCACTGGTTCCACAGCCTTCCTGTTATTCATCTAATGCAACTGTAAATCATCATTGCGGTGGGAATGCACTGAAGCTTGAAAGCGTGAGATTCCAAATGTTATAATATCATAATGTATAGTTGCAAGCTTTTTATGGTAGCATCCAAGTAATACCAATGATGTTTTCTTTATTTATATTAATAAAGCAATAATTATTTCTGTTTTTTAGTATTACATCAAGATGTTCTTTGTATTACATCCAAGTAATACCAATGATGTTTTCTTTACTTCTATTAATAAAGCAATAATTTCCTGTGTTTTTAGCATTACATTAAGAAGTTCCTTGTAAATATTGATGTTTAGATGCTGCTATAGTGTGTAAGGACACGGATGATTCAAATTCTTTGTACATATTTTATGAAATGTGTTTTGAGTTTTTTTTTTTTTAATGCTAGATATAAATTTTTTTTTTGGGTTTAAATTGTGACTTAACTCTTTAAGGGTCCTTCAATGTTTAATTAATTTACATGTTCTTAAGACCTGAAACTTGGATCCTTGCCTTCAGAAGTAAATAGTTTTCTCTAGATTCATCTCATCAGAATCTGATGGCATAGATCCTCTTGAATTTAGAAATGCTATGACCTTTTTTTCCAATAATCTTCATCGCCCAAACAATCTCTCATGTTGGAAAAGGAGCATGTGGATGGTCATATCTTTTGATCTTAGAGCAAAAGTCCTTTCACTATCTCTAATGGCAAACTTAACTGCTGGGGCCTATCCAAAATATTATGAAGACTTCAAGGGGCCTGTAATTTAAAATTCGAAGCTTATGAGCATATTAATACGATGATCCAAAACTCAGGATATGTTATTTATCATCTTCTTATCCTAACCACTAAAAAATTTTATATCGGGTGTGCATTATATTACGACTTTCTCTGATTGAAGATGCAATATCTTGATCTGATTTCATTTTGTAGGATTTTGAGCAATTTTCTTCAGAAGAGGACATATTTGGTGTTCCATTTGATTGGTTAGAACAATTTAGTTTGCGGCAGCCATACCAAGCAGTGAAAAATACAGAGCTTACGTCTAGTGGAAGTGACTTAAGCTTGCAGTTATGCGAAGCTAATAGAATCCTTTTTGGCTTTGATGGTCTTGAGTCACCAAATTCAGCTGCTTGTCTGGCAGGTGCGCCCTGTACAACTACAGGCGCAACTAGCAGTGGATCCAACTCTAAATTGTCGTCTACCCCAAAGGAAAGCATCATCGAGTGGATGGGTACTACAGATTTACCTGTTGAAAAAACTTCATATTCGTTTGACTTGCGAGGAACATGGTTTGATCAAGGTCAGCATGGAACTGTGGTTCAAAAGCAACTATTCAGAATTCGTGAAATTTCACCTGAGTGGTCCTTTTCCTTTGCGAAAACCAAGGTGCGTCTATAAACTCATTAAGCTTAATGTCCCCTGATTGATAACTTGAGCGTCTTTGTCCTTTAATTTTTTTTTGTCTCTGGCTGTAGTACAGGCAATGCATAATTTTGACTTCAAAACTGTGAAGTCTTTATGGCTTAATGAATCTAATTAAGCAAAGAGAAAACTACTGGCTATACATGGCAAGACTAACTTATTGTTGAGAATGTGCACATATTGTCATTGGTTTTTATTCCATTGATGATTCAATCGTGTGAATGGTACACGATGTGCCGTTTGCATTTGGATGGGTGGCATGTCATGCAAGAACCCTTGAGCAATATGATTATCATGGCCATTTATTTCCTAGTTACTAGAGCTGAGTAAGAGTGGGTAAATTGCGTAAATGATTTGCATTATTCATTCTATCACCAAGTAGGGAGAGAATCCAAAATGAGTATGACCTTCCAAAAGTGGAAGGAAACATAAACGTTAGTTCAAATGATTCAATATTACAATTGAGAGCTTAAAAAGAGGCCAAAAAAGGTTTAGGATGCATATTGTAACACCCCATAATACTCCTTAATAGTATTGTAGAGTGTACTAAGAATAAACATAACATTTTCATCACTAAACATCTCATTCCATTTCATTTCATTTTAGATCTATATAAAAGATCATATAAGTATCATCTAATACAATAAAGGAAGGATCTAATAATTCTCAAGTTTTATCAGATACTTAGTACAGAGCCACTAAAGAAATTCAAACAAATTCAAAGTAATATAATATTAAAATTATTTATTAACAGCAAGAGTAGACTTCAAACATAGAATAAATATTAACATAAAATTTAAATACTTGTAGATTAGTCTTCTTCCACATTTCCCTTTCCCTTATCTATAACAACAACCAATAATAAAATACTGGTGAACTATAAAGCTCAATAAATTATGCAAATTAATTAACAGTTAAAATATAATAAAAGAAATGAAGCAAAACATTGAAATCTTCATTGAAAATATTTTAAAACATAATTAACATGATTATTTACTTCTTTTGAAGTTTACACTGAATATCAATTTTAATATGTAAAATTTTTGACTATTTCTTAAACATATTCAATGGAGCCAAGGTAAAACTAGCATTATCGTCATTGAATTACATAGAGGTCTATTTTGCCTCTTTAGGGGATCTATTTTGCCCCTTTAGGGGATCCATTTTGTCCCACCTGCTATGTAGGTAACATATCTCTGGGGTCTCTTTTGCCCCACTTACAATGTAGTGTACATGAGAACCCTTTTGCCCCACCTGACTTTGTAAGTTATACTTTTTTATAGCCAAACTTTACTTTAAATGGATATTCAGTACACATTCCATATTCATTAATCATACTTGACTTGTCATGTACAAACTTACATAATAATCTATCTCTTAATATTTACATGTATTGACAACATGAAATAATTGAGCTCCTTTCAATTTATAATCAACTAGAAAAATATTACAATAATTATCATGAATCCTCTGTTGAACTTCAAGGATGCTTATATTTCAGTAGTTGATCATATATGAAAATTTGAAAATATAATCATTTATATTTTTGCAATCTCTATAAAGCATTTATCACTTCTATTAAATCAAGTGATATCATAAATATATCTAGGAATATTAATTCTTGCATTTGTAAATCAAGATTTATATAACTTACCTTCTTAATGTTATCTCTTCCAACCTACACCACGAAACCTTCTCATTTGATATACTATTCCAAAACTTTCTTTCTACATAAATCTATAAATAAACCTACAATTCAATATGTTATCATCTTTTAGAAATTTTATTAATTTTAGGTAACATAAAAGATAATGATACTTAGTAAATTTTTTTCCTTCTTCTCCTTTTAAATTTCCTCTCTTAAACTTCCTTCATCGTATCATCAATTCATACTCACCTTGATATCAAACTACATTTGACCACAAAATTTCATATTAATCATTCTTAAATCTTAGCAATTGTGGTTTCAACAAGTTGCAAGTTTACTTACCTCAATGTATTTCACAGCACCTGACTAACACTGCTTTCACTAGCCTTTCTTTCAGAAAAATGCAAAAATCTTCCTTTACAGAAATCAAAGCCTTCTCTTCAGCAACTGTGTTGAAAGTCTCCCAATTTCCTTCCAGTTATCACCGCAGAAACTTGCTCTGTCCGAACCAATTACACTTTGTTCCTTTCTGTATGTGGCCTCAACCTTCTCCAGCGAATTACTAGGGAATTACTTGCGAAAGTGTGATGCGTTCCGCCTCCGATCAGCAGAGGGGGGGCCGACAACCCCCAGGCGAGCGGAAGCGGCGGGGGAGGGAGCCGCGTCGTTCGGCCAGCCGAAGGGAAGCACGGGGCGAGGCGGAGCGGGCGGGGGGTTTCGGCCTTGAGCGGAACCGGTCCAATCCTGGACCGGTTTGGCTCGGGTCTGCCCTGAGTTGGGCGGTTCATTTTGGGCAGCCCACTAGTGGGTTTTGTTGGTCTTTTGGCTTGCTATAAGTAAGGAATAGGGGGAGATTTCTAGGGTTATGAAAGATTTGAGTTTTCTCTTAGCCTCCTTAGTTTCTTTCTCTTGTTTTTCTAGGGTTTGTAGTGGGAGACCTTGTCCTTCTCGAAGTGGACAAATTGTATCTTGTTTTCCGTTGGATTTTGAATGCAAAGGTTCTTGCTCTTCCTCTCATCCCTCTTGTGTTTATTTTTCTTGGATTTGGTGGAGAAATCCTTTCTTTGAAGGAGCATTAGGGCAAACCCAAACTTGGGAACCCTAGAGCGTATCAAAGTGCTTCCTCTCCAGCCCGTTATCTCCCACCAAAAAACTAAAACAATAGGGATTATCCAAGCTTTACACCCACTAGTGGATAGTGGGCCCCAACAATCTTCTAACCGCCCAAATCCCAAACTGTCCCATTCCAATGGCTGCTTTAGAATGCTTCCCTTCAAACTTTGAGTTAATTTATTATATTCTAATATTTGTTAAACTAGTATATTAATAGCATAAATCTTAGTAATACCTATTTATTTAAACCATACTTGAAATTTCTATTTCTTATATATCTTCCCCTCTTAAGAGGATTTCGTCCCCGAAATTCAACCTTTATGCTTTTTAAACAGATGAGGAAACCATTGTTTCATATTATCCTCTTTTTCCCTTGTAGCTTGTTTTGTTGTTATGTGCTTCCACTTTATTTTTACAAAAGGAATCATTCTGCTACTCAATCTACGAACATCCTTATCCTATATTATTTTCGGTTTTTCAATATAAGTTAAATTTTTTTGAAGTTCAATATCATTCTGAGGAACCCTTTGACTTTCATCTATCACCCATTTTCTGAGCATTGATACATGAAAAATATTATGTACATCCGACATTTCTACTGGTAATGACAACTTGTAAGCAACTGGTGCTATTTTTTCAATGATTTCAAATGGCCCAATATATCTAGGATTGGGTTTTTCACCTTGATCAAATCTAGCCACACCTTTTATTGGTCTCACCCTCAAAAATATAAAATCTCCTTTTTCAAATTCTACCACTTTATTCTTGGGATCATAGTAGTTTTATTGGCGGTCTTGAGCCACTTTTAGTCTATCTCTGATTAATCTTAATTTTTAGTAACTTGATCCACTAATTGTGGACCCAATAATTGCCTTTTACCAACTCAAAGGAGTTTTACACTTTCTGCCATATAAAGCTTCATAGGGAGCTATCTTGATACTGGACTGGTAGCTATTGTTATATGCAAATTCTATCAATGGAATATGATCTTCTCTGTTTACTCCAAAATTCAATATACATATTCTTAACAAATCTTCCAACACCTGAATAATTCTTTTTGATTGACCATCAATTTGTGGATGAAATGTTGTACTGAACTTTAACTATGTACCCAAACTTCCATGAATGTTCCTCCATAGCTTTGATGTAAAACATTCATCTCAATATGATACAATAACTTTAGGAATTCCATGTAATGAGATGATTTCCTTCAAAATAACTTGGACAACTTCTTAATAGAATCAGTTTGAAAAATAGGAAGAAAATGTGTTGATTTTGTTAGTCTGTGAATCACAACCCATATACAATCATGCTCTTGCCTTGATCCGATAATCCTGTAACAAAATCCATTGCTATTTCTTCTCACTTCCATTCTAGAATCGGTAATGATTGCAACATGCCACTGAGTTTCTGATGTTCAGCTTTAATAACTTGACACTTATCACATTTAGCCACATAATCTCCATATATCTTTTTATTCCTGGTCACCAAAACAAATTCTTCAAATCCTTATACTTTTTCGTGCTTCCAAGGTCAATTAAATAACCTGAATTATGTGCTTCATATAAAATTTCCAAAATCAATTCTGACTCTTTTGGTATTCACACATGCATATTACTCCTGATTGTGCCATGTTCGTCAACACTTAGATCTTTTATTGACCTGGTTGTACATGCTCCATAAACTTTTGATATTCAGTACTATTCTATTGAGCTTCAATGATTTTGTCTTCTAAAGAAGGATGGACTGACATCTGATTAAGACTAACATAATCTTGATCTCCCTGCATTTTGACTTCCAATTGTACGTTTTTCGTTTCTATAATTAATTCTCCTTCATTAGTCAACATATAATCACCTGTATTTTGGACTTTCTGCTCAATGCATCAGCCAAGGTTTAAAATTGCGCAATTGAGTATTCATTTTTTGTTCGTGAGGCGAGGCGTAATCCTTAAGGCGTTTTGAGGCGTAAGCCTCAAAATCAAAAAATTGTGTTAAGCCAAAATAAATATTAAAATTGATTTTTTATATAATACCAAATTAATATGTTAAAGGATGGCATGTTACCTTTCTCTATTGAATTATTAAGTAAAAAATTTACATATATATGAAATAAAAAATTGCAAAAGATGTAAAGTGACAAGTGTAAATTACATGAAATAAAATTAAAATTCAAATATTATAAGGGCAAAATAATATTAAAT